CAATTGGTCTTACGCCTAGAGAAGCCTTGATTCTGTCAGAGGGAGCATGTTAGCACCAATCCGGGTGGGATAGGTTTATTTTGTATATGAATGATTTTTAATGGATGCAATATTAATCCTTGCAGATGAGCAATAAATCATTAAAGTCTAATTAAAAAATGATTAGAAAAACACTTCTCTTGCCTTGTGAAGCTTTGTTTAAAGATCTAACGTGGTGGCCTTCAGATCAGTGAATCAGTTGCTATTATTACCTAAGGCACAAGAACAGAGCTACTTGTCTACTTAAAATCATAGACCATACAAACAAATCGTGGTGCACCTCACTTATGATACCTCAGATGGTGGCATGTGACTGCAGTAATTAACTGGTCATGTCCTTGTAGATGCAAGCTTGTCACCCACAGACCTAAAAATCTCTCCCTCTACAGTTGCTAGATTCATGAAAACACTGTGAAACTCTTCTGTGTATGTAGATTAGCACCAGTGAGAGAGGATCTGACATTGGGCTTTGTTACAATCCCACATAAGGATTTTTAACATCCTGTGTATTGGGTTCATACCATGGCCAGCAAATTAAAACCAGCCTCCCTTTGAGGTTGTCATCTTCTCCCCCTCTCCTGCCAAGGGAATCTGCTGTTTAGCTCTGCCTTTGACCCACTGCCATCTGGTTTTGTATTTAACCTGCGTGTCCCTTTAAAATCTTTCTTGAGATGCCTAAAAGCCCAGTGCTTTGCAGTACTGTCACATGGGTGAGGGTTGAGCTGTCACTTTCTATGAAACCATCGCTGATGAACAGACTCCCTGAACTTCCCTTTCCGCTCTGCTGCTTTCTGTATGGATGTGGGATGCTGAGGTACTAGTCAGTCCCTCATTTTGGTGCTCCCTGAAGACAATGGGTTCAAAATCTCAATACTTCCTTTCTCCCTGGTCTTGTTTTACATAGAATGGTTCAAATAAATCTACCAGCTCCCTGGACCTCCTTTGCCTAAGAACAATGTACAGAGGAGCAATGTGCTAGGGGAGAAAAAGTGGGATGGGTGATCTGGTTTGTATTCCTGGCTCTGGTACTTAGTGTGCCTCAGTTTACCTGCTGTACAGCAGGGATAACTTTTACCCTCTGTAAAGCACTAATCTGTGCATAGACAATGCTAAGTTGTTAACAGGTTCCGACTGTACTATCTCAAAGTATATATCTCACAATCCCTAATGAGATACTTCACTGCAGTCCTGTTTGAAATCTAAGCAGCCCCTCATGAACCTCTGTTGCAGTCACATGTCTGCACTGCACATGTCTGTCTGCCCTGTTCTTGTGAGGTTGTAGGATATTGAAACTGACAAGAATCCTGTTCTGGTGATTTCAGAGAATAGTAATTTTGTCAGTTTCACCATCATGCCTACTGCAATTAATTTTGCTGAGTGGGATGCTGAGAACCGTAGGGCCCTGCGCTAGTCCGGCTTGCTGGTTCTAATAACTTATTTTCCATGATGAAAATATGGGCATCCTAAAGCAACCTTTTAAAGAGGGTAGGAGTTTAGGCTTTAAAATGTTAACTTCAGCTATGCATTTGTCCTCTAAAACTATCAAACTAAACCAGGGCTGCTTATAGATGGAGCACTTAAGGCAACCCCTTAAAGCCCTGTCTGCACCTGAATCTTTTGCTGTTGCAACTGCCTGTTGTTCCTGGAAGCTGCCTTGCGTTCATGTGCAAAGCTGCTTCCTGTGGTGAGTAGACATTCCTACCCCCTCTGCCATTGCTCCAAACCAATGCGGTGCAATTAGAGTTCCCCTCTCCTAGGACTAAGTCGCTGGGTTAATCAAACACATAGTTGGCAGGGGTTAAAGATTACACAGGAAATTACTTCCACTGGATGGGACTCAAGAGACCTTAGTTTTAATACCAGCTCTGCCACTGGCCTGCTGGTGACCCTGGGCAAGTCACTTCCCCTTTCTGTGTCTCAGTTGCCCCATCTGTAAAACAGGAATAATGATACTGACGGGTAGGAGTGAAGTGGAGGGGCCCAGCTGTGGAACATCCTTACTCTGACCCTGGCCCAGGCCCATTGCAGGAGCCCAGAGTGATCTTGAGCCAGGGAGGGCACTTAGGACAATAAATGAAATGGAGCTTGTAGAAATGATTGAATAAATAAAGGAAAAGGAACTTCTTTCCCTTGAGTTACCAACCCACCACTCCTCATAGCAGCACCTCAGCCAAGCAGGCAACAGAGCCCTAGCACCTGACTGCCTGGAGACTGAGGACCTGGGCAGGCTAGTGCCAGTCTATAATGCAGGCTCACACAGTGGCTTTGTACCTTTTCAGTGGCCATACTAGGTTTGAATGCTCCTGGCACTGAGGTAACAGACCTGCTCCTGGTAAATGATCCATTCAATATCAGTGCTGCATAAACAGGTAGGGGGAACAAATAAATGTGCAGAAGTGTAAATAGCCACTATAGACACCGCTGCTGCTCTAGAGAGAGGCACTGGGAATTTGGGGGTGATCAGCACACCCAGTATTGAATGTGAACTAAAGCAGCATCCCCCATGCACAGGCAATGCAGCAGCTGCCCCACGGCATGTGGAGAGGGGGCTGTGGCTGTGAGCTTGGTTCAAAATAGGCCTCTGGAAAGCCTGAAAGAATTCTGGACTGAGCTGCATCTAGCCTCAAGTTTCCAGAGGGATGGATGCTTTACCCGTGTAGATCATCATCTGGGAAGCACCGATCTAACCAAAAGGTAACGATAAACCACCCTACAGTGCAGTGAGTGTGAGGGGAAGTGAGCGGGTGATGCAATGACTGGCGGGCAGTCTGGTCTTAATGTCATTGTAATGATTCCCCTCCCAAGGCTCTTGGGAAGCTGTATGGTATGAAAGCCACCTCCAATTTCACTGGCATGAACAAATGCAGCTGATGCCTGGGAAAAGAGAGGGAGGAAAATCGTGGTCATGTCAACTTTTTTGGACTGTGATCAAAGGTGTTTAAAAGCTAGGGGGGGAAGAGTAGAGCTGGCGCCAAGGAAAGCAAATTCCACCCGCAGCTACCTCCTACCTTAAGCTGTGTCTGTGAAGTCCCTCAAGGGCAAGTGGTGTCATTACCGACCAAGAGGAGGCAGTGGTCTGAAGTCGACAGGTTTGATTCTCCTGTCACTTACCTGGGGTAGCTCCAGAATCTTCAGCCGTTGCTCTCTTGATTGGACTCCTGGTCCTTCACATGAAAGCACTGTTGTTCTAGTCTGCAGATACTAGCTGGCTGTAGGACTGAGTAGGTGGGTAGCCAAACCAGAGGATAAAGGATGTATTACTCCCACCAACTAAGGGAGATTTTCTTTAACGTGTCATTTTTGGAGCTCAAGAAGTAGGATGCTGGGCCTGGCCTGGTTGGGGGTTGTGGCGTTTATCCAGTAATTGGCTTGAGGCTGCACAGTGTTTGTTCGTTACAAGGGCAGCAGTGGGGAAGCGAGGGCAGGACATGCATGCCCTTCTGCTGGTTGAGACACACACAAGGCTGTGGTGTAGTGCACAGAAGTGCGGGGTTGGAACAGCTCTGGTTATGAAGATCCAGCGGCGTATGTCTCCTGCCTGATGCAGGAGGGCACCTGAGCCAGAAGTACGCTGGTATGTAGTGACCTCCCCCCCATGGGACTACCACTCTCCCTCTGACCACGAAGCTGCCCTCCCTCCTCGTGCTGGGAGCAGGACCTAGGAGTCCTGGGTTGATTTGAACTACAAGGTGAATAGAAACCTGGCTAGATCATCGAGCTCAACGAGTAGTGATCAATGGTTCCATGTCTAGTTGGCAGCCAGCATCGAGTGGAGTGCCCCAAGGGTCAGTCCTGGGGCCAGTTTTGTTCAATATCTTAATTAATGATCTGGAGGATGGTGTGGACTGCACCCTCACAAGTTTGCAGATGACACTAAACTGGGAGGAGTGGTAGATACGCTGGAGGGTAGGGATAGGATGCAGAGGGACCTAGACAAATTAGAGGATTGAGCCAAAAGATATTGGATGAGGTTCAACAAGGACAAGTGCAGAGTCCTGCATTTAGGACGGAAGAATCCCATGCACTGCTACAGACTAGGGACCGAATGGCTAGGCAGCAGTTCTGCAGAAAAGGACCTAGGGGTTACAGTGGACAAGAAGCTGGATATGAGTAGTCAGTGTGCCCTTGTTGCCAAGAAGGCTAATGGCATTTTGGGCTGTATAAGTAGGGGCATTACCAGCAGATTGAGGGTACATGATCATTCCTCTCTATTCAACATTGGTGAAGCCTTATCTGGAGTATGGTGTCCAGTTTTGGACCCCACACTACAAGAAGGATGTGGAAAAATTAGAGTCCAGCGGAGGGCAACAAAAATGATCAGGGGGCTGGAACACATGACTTATGAGGAGAGGCTGAGAGAACTGGGATTGTTTAGTCTGCAGAAGAGAAGACTGAGGGGGGATTTGATAGCTGCTTTCAACTACCTGAAAGGGGGTTCCAAAGAGGATGAATCTAGACTGTTCTCAGTGGTACCAGATGACAAAACAAGGAGTAATGGTCTCAAGTTGCAATGGGGGAGGTTTAGGTTGGATATTAGGAAAAACTTTTTCACTAGGAGGGCGGTGAAGCACTGGAATGGGTTCCCTAGGGAGGTGGTGGAATCTCCATCCTTAGATGTTTTTAAGGCCTGGCTTGACAAAGCCCTGGCTGGGATGATTTAGTTGGTGTTGGTCCTGCTTTGAGCAGGGGGTTGGACTAGATGACCTCCTGAGGTCCCTTCCAACCCTGATATTCTATGATTCTGTGATGATTTGTGACTTTTGAAGGGGCGGGTTGGCTTGGCTTGGCTATGCTGCATGCTGATGTGATGGCAGCTCTAGCCTCAGGGGGGCCTTATGGCAAGACCCTGTGAGGTCAAGCCCCCCAGCAGCCAGCACGCTAACTTAAAAGGGGGGTTGCTACAGCTCCTGCTACATCTAACATGGCTTTCTCAGGCTACCCACTCGTCTGCCACACCAGCCATGGCTGCCTCTCTACCTCGTTCTCCCTGGCTGCAGATCTCGCGAGAAGGGCGAGCGAGTGCTTCTCGCGAGATCGCGGCGCGGCCCGGGGAGGAAGGCGGGGCGGGCGAAGATGGAGCCGGGCGGTGTCGGTGGCTGCGGGGGCCGGGGCCGGGGCCGCTGATCGTGAACAACAAGCAGCGGGGCGGGCTGCTGCCGGCGGGGAAGGGCCGCGAGTTCAACCGCAACCAGCGCAAGGACTCCGAGGTGAGCGCGCGGCCCTGCTCCCTCCTCGGTCCGCCGGGCGGGGGGGTTCGGTTCGGTTCCGGCTCCGAATGACGCTTCCCCCCCGGTCGCTCGGGGCGGGGCGGGGCGGTTGGGTACCGGGTCCAAATGGAGCAGACCCCTCCCCCTTCTGGGTATAAGTGGGTCTGACCCACCCCCGTGGGGGTCTCGGTATCGGGCCAGCCCCCTTCCCCTGGGCCTTGGTAGTGGGTGCCCGGGGCCAGCCTGGATCCTGTCGGGGAGGGAGTCGGTACCTGCCTGGAGCCCCGCCTCTCAGTGGGCCTGGCTATGGACATACAGACCAAGCGCTCATCGGTGCGGTGTCTGTGCGCCAGGCCTGAGGCTGGCTGGCTGGCGGGTGTATAAGAGGGGCAGGGTGTTCAGTGTTGGCCCGCACCTTGGAGCCGCTGCTATGTTTGTGTTAGGGGGAGGGGACATCCAGAGCGGTCCCAGACCCAGATTTCGGGGGACTGACATCCCTGTGTCAGGCGGAGCGATGCCAGACTCAAAAGGTGACATGGTCCATACGTGGGAGATTGAGTCCCAGTCAGAGTGACTTCTTAAAGCAGTGGTTCTCAACTCCCCGGGTGCTTGCAGCCCAACCAGCGCACAGCTCAGGGTCATACAGGTAGTATATATATGGTGTGGATGCGGCCCACATAACACAGAGAGAGCTGCATAGGCGGCCCACAATGATAAATAGGTTCAGACCCACTGCCTTAAAATGGGTAAATGAATGTTGCTGTTTCATTTGATCCCAATCCCAAAGGTGAATCTGAAGAAGTTTTTTTTTTTACCCACAAAAGCTTATGTCCAAAGAAATCTGTTAGCCTTTAAGGTGCCTCTGGACTCCTCATTGTTTTTCCAAAGGTGACTGTGCATCCTATCCTCTGCTAGCGATTGGCACAAGATTCATGTAAAGCTTAGCCAAGGGAACATATTGATGACTTACATTTGTTTTTTTTAAAGCTACTGCATCTTGCTGCAGTCTTGATCTCTTTCCAACCTCAGTAATATTGCCTCTATTCTCTGTATTATTTATTTATTTACTTGGTTATTTTTGTATTCTGTTAGTACCTAAAGACAAGGATGAGGATTTGGACTGTGGTAGCATCCCAGACTTCCAGAGTGGTTCACATTTATTCTAAATTGATAAAATCTGAGAGCTCCCTGGTCCAGACTAGTCTGCTCCAATTTTAGGATTAAATAAGCATGTGGATATATAAAATTTTACATAGTGCCTTTCACTACAAAGGATCCCAGAGTGCTTTATAGGCTGTATACAAACGGGTCACTCACCACTGAAATGCAATTCAATGGAACATGATTTTTCAACAGCACAGAGCAACAGTACACAATCGGGTAGGAATAAGAAGTGTTGAATATATTACACCCATTCAAAATACAGAAGGCACTTTAGTAGGTTACCGTGATACTGTTGATGTGCCGGTAAATTTCATATCTGTTAGACTGAAAACACTGTACTGAACTTGCAACAGGATGAATTTTGAAAGTTATGGAGACTGAATTTTTTTTTACTGAATAGTGACTGATTAAAACTGTTTTTCTTCTGCCATCAGGGCTATTCTGAATCCCCGGACTTGGAGTTTGAATATGCAGACACAGATAGATGGTCTGCAGAGCTGTCGGGTAAGGAAATTAAACCTAATGTTTAAATTAACTTGTTTTTGGCTCAGTGGTCCGTAAAAGAACACGATCGACTCAAAAATAATATATTTTTCATGATTGTTTTTAGCTTAATAACACATTAGTTAATTAAAGCTAATAGGATTTTAACAATCATTATTTTTGCCATATACCCTGCTTTTCTTTTTTGCATTTCCCACCTTGGACAACCAGGCTAGTCAGTTTCACTTGACTTGCTTGTCAGTTTCAGCTTTCAGTTCTCATACTAGTGGATGTAGTGTTTGGATCCCAAATACTTTAGAAACTTACATCCAGATAAACTCTTTCCACTGGAAATAATATTTTAAATACCGAAAATAATTTCTATTGAATTTCACTTATGTAAAACATTGTTCTGAGATCTTTTATGTTTTGAGCATTTGAGTATACATAAGCCCCGTCGTTTTCAGTTTAAACCAATTTTTACTGAAAAAATGTCCAGGTTTTACAAAAAGTATTACTCATTTTTTTCTGATTTTCACCCTACTTTCGTATCATTCAAATATATAAATAATAACTTGTTTTATTAGGAAAATACAATACATTGCGTGAGATTTATGTATTATGATAATACATTAGTCTGTGTGTGTATATGCAAAGCTGACTGTTGAAGTAAGACTATGTGTTAGTCTAGAAGATACACACAATAACAAACAGGCAGGCATAGGCACGCACTTATTTTGTGTATCTGAACGTACTAGTGAATCTCACGCCCACCACTTGCACATTTCAAGCTGTTAGCAGATAGTGGTTTAAAGATTTGGCACGCTAAAATAGGAAGAAAACAAAAATCCGTATCAGAATAAGTTTCAGAATACAAGGAAGTATTCGAAAGTTTAAAAAAAACCAAACAGGAGAAAAGGATGAAGTTGAGTGTACGCGCTGCAAATGGTGTGGCCCAATTATTAAATGTAAATATTTATAGGGCAATAGTTCTAAGTTTACAACAGTAAACCGTTTATTCAAATGAAAAGTTTTATTTGAGGATTAGAGATATGTTGTTTTCTTAAACTCAGACGTGGCATTGTGTTTTGAGTTCTGTTTTAGTTTCTGCAGCAAACCACATTGATGAACGAAATTCAAAGCATTACAGGTCTGTCTCATCTTACGCGGGGGTTCCGTTCTGCGGTTAGCACGTAAAGCGAAAACTGCGTATAGTCAAAATTACATTGAGTTCAATGGTGGGCGGAATCGCCCGCACTACAGGTACAGTATTAAAATTGTTATTTTTCTCTTTTTTTTGTTTTTGCCGACCGCGTAAAGCTGAAATCGCGCATGTTAAATGCGCATAAGATGCGACAGACCTGTAATCGACTGAATAATTTTTTCCCTGTCTTTCTGTCCGCCAAAATAAATCCCAATATTTACCCAGAAAAATTACTAACATTTTTTGCCCCGATTTTTCACCTGTTTTGGTTGCTGTGATAATAAACACTGATAAATTGTCTGGAAAAAATAAATAAAATAAAAACTGAAAACAAAGGACCCTAAGTGTAGAAAACTTCAGTGATGAGAAATCTTTTAAAAAAAAATTAATATAATTAGTATGAATAGAAAAAACCCATAGCAGCAATTTCCAGGTAACAAGTCAAACCATGCCGATTCTAATGCTCACAGAGTCCAATAAACATTAAGTGTGATATGACTGAAGTGAAGTTCGTGCTCCTTAGTTTCACAGCTGAGAACTGGTTAGTTTTTGGGAGGTGTTTTCTGTTTGGATGCAGAAATGAAATTGACAGTGATGCTCTCTTGGCAGAACTATACAGCTACACAGAGGGTCCGGAGTTCCAGCTGAATCGAAAATGCTTTGAGGAGGATTTTAGGGTCCACGGTAAGAGAACTGTCTTCTCCCTCCCACATCGTACTATGGAGATGATGTCACCTGTAGAACATAGACAGTAGGAGACAGAAGTATTGATGTGCTGCTATCTCTGTGTCAGAAGGAAGGAACCAGCCACGTACATTGATTCCTTGTTTACCTTAGCTGGTGTTTGCTGACAAATGTTGTCAATGTTCACAGGACACCTTCTAATATGCCTCACCTGTGAACTGGAGGGGAAAGAGTAGGTTCGTGTCTGTGGCCTAATCAGCACTTAGGCTATCAAAATGTGCTAGGTGGTTAATTGGTGCTGACTGTGGCTGTGCTGTAAGATGTGGAAGTCTGTCCATTAAGAACAACCATCTCATTTTATGAAGGTTGTTGTCTGTACTGACTTCTGATCACCGCTGATGTGGATTCAAACAGATGAGTCTGATTAATTCTGTCCTGTACTAGAAGGCTTTAGTCCGGGGTGGGCAAACTTTTTGGCCTGAGGGCCACATCGGGTTTCTGAAATTGTATGGAGGGCCGGTTAGGGAAGGCTGTGCCCCCCCAAATAGCCAGGCGTGGCACGGCCCCCACCCCCCTATCCAGCCCCCCCCTGCTTCTTGCCCCCTGACGGCCCCCCAGGACTCGTGCCCCATCCAACCCCCCCGTTCCCTGATGGGACCCCTGCCCAATCCACCCTTCCCTGTGCCCTGACCGCCCTTGGAACCCCTGTCTGTCCCCCGCCGCCCAATCCAACCCCTCCACTCATTCCTGACTGCCCCCCCTGGGACCCCTACCCCATCCAACCACCTTCTTCCTGTCCCCGGAACCCTTGCCCCTGCCTGCCCCC